AAAGGGGAACCCTACACTGCTGGTAGGAATGTAATCTAGTTCAACCATTGTGGAAAGCAGTATGGAGGTTCCTCAAAAAGCTCAAAATAGAAATACCATTTGACCCAGGAATTCCACTCTTAGGAATTTACCCTAAGAATGCAGCATCCCAGTTTGAAAAAGATGTATGCACCCCTATGTTTATTGCAGCACTATTTACCATAGCCAAGAAATGGAAGCAACCTAAGTGTCCATCAGTAGATGAATGGATAAAGAAGATGTGGTATGTATACACAGTAGAATATTATTCACCCATAAGAAGAAAACAAATCCTACTATTTGCAACAACATGGATGGAGCTGGAGGGTATAATGCTCAGTGAAATAAGCCAGGCAGAGAAAGACAAGTACCAAATGATTTCACTCATATGTGGAGTATAAGAATAAAGAAAAAACTGAAGTAACAAAACAGCAGCAGAATAACAGAACCCAAGAATGGACTAAAAGTTACCAAACTGAAAGGGACTGGGGAGGATGGGTGGGAAGGGAGGGATAAGGGGGGGGGAAGGGGCATTATGATTAGCATGTATAATTTGGGGGGTCACAGGGAGAGCTGTGCAATACAGAGAAGACAAGTAGTGATTCTACAGCATCTTACTACACTGATGGACAGTGACTGTAATGGGGTTTGTGGGGGGGACTTGGTTATGGGGGGAGTCTAGTAAACATAATGTTCCTCATGTAATTGTAGATTAATGATACCAAAAAAAAAGTTAGAAACACAATTACTGATACAGTGAGGAACTAGTCAATGGACTCAAAATTCTGTATTCTTTGGATCACTTTCTCATTTAAAGATATAACTAGGGTATAATTGTTGCCATTATCATTTTCTTTACCAGCTACTATTTATTGTGTTCTCTTTAACAAAAATCCTGTAAATGATAGGTATTATCCCTACTTAAAAGTTAAGCAAATAAGAAGTCACATAGGTGGTAGGTGAAACAACTGACTCAGGATTGAAAAGATTCATTTGGTTCAAAACCCATGGACTTTTCCATTGCACTTCAATACCTCCTCCAAAATGGCAGTTTTTAACTTTTCATTATATCTGCATCTCAATCTGTGAACTAGATTAGAAGGCTACACTTGAATTAAAATAATTTTAACAATTAAAACCTTATTGCCCAATTTTCCCTTATTGTTTCTTGTGTCAGCCATATCTAATGAATTAATTGATACATTGGCTACAAAACCATTTTGTTAACTGCGTAGAGATTCTAACAAAAATTTTAAACTTCACTAGACATATAATCTGTAAACATAAAATAGTAGGTGTTTGCCTTGGAAAAGACTGTGTATACCATCTCCCAAGGGTGATATCTAATACATACAACCTTTGAGACATAGAAATCTAATTTTATCAACACACTTGAAGAAGACTCTCACAGTTAGACTCACAGTAATAAAATTTTCAGAGTGATCTATGAAATCAGAATGTCAGTTTATTAATTATAAGAAAAAAACCATAATGGAAACTAGATTTAGTTCTAAGTCTGACGAACCAGAGCATTCTCTCCCTATAGGCAAAATTACATGGGAAATCAAACAACAAAAAGTTGTTTGGTGATACTGCAATCAGAACAAATGGAATGAGATTAATTGTTTCATAGCCACAAATTAAAACAGCTTGGTGTATTCTTTCTACAGCAAGAATGATCTCTTTAGTGGGAGAAGAATACTTACCATTCCACTAATTCTCTCTTCCCTCTGTCATAAACACTGCCTGAGTCTTCTCAAGTTATCTCTTGGTCAAGGAACTTATAGATACATTACTCCTTTAGATAAATTCACATATTTCTACAAGGCTACACAATAAGTTCCTTCTGGTCTAGGAGCCATTTTAGTTTTTTGAGGTGAGTTTACATGACTGCTCTGATAGAAAAAAAATGATTTCACTGATTCAGAAACTAGTTTTATTTCCAAGTTCTTAGAGAAATATCCCAAGTATTTCTAATAATAACAGGTAATATTTGGGTGATTATATATTAGAAATTATTCTAAGTGCTTTATGCACAGTATCTCATTTCATCTTTGCCATACTCTGTGAGGTAGGAATTAGTCTCATTTTATAAAGGAAAACACTAAAGTTTTCAGAGTAAAGGAACAATGTCCAAAGTCACACAGCTAGTAAGGACGAAGAAATGGAATTTGAATCCAGTTTTTCTGACTCCAGCACTGATATTCTTATTCACTACAGTATTATAGAAAATAAATAGAACTGCTACCCTATTCTTGGTTACCGGATTCCATACCTAAATTGCATCTGTGGAGGGAAAAAACCCTGTGAGTTCCTGAGAAAACTACATATAAAAGATATTCAAACCATCATATTCTTGAAAAAAATAACAAATGCAGATCATGCTGCTAATATTAGTTTCATTTAACAGATATTTAACCGAGTCCCTACCATGCATTATTCCAGAAGCTGGAAATACAGCAGTAATAAAAACAATGTCCCTGCTCTCTTGGTGCTTATATTTGGTTAAGGGAAAAGGGGGTGGGGAAAAAAGGAGAGATAAAAAAGAAATATATCAGACAGTGTTAAGAGCTATGAAGAAAAGCAATAAAGCAGGTAAGAAGGATGAGAGTAAGGCACAGGAAGGGGAAGATGGTACTTCACAAAACAAAGACAAGAAGACCTCTCCAATAAGGTGACATCTGAAAGTGAGGAAGCAACTTATGTAGGTATGTGAGGCCAGACCAAGCCAGGTGGGCAAGAGCCCCAAGGTACAAGTAAGCTTGCTCAAGAAGAGTGAGAAAGCCAGGAGGACTGGAGCAGAGAGAACAGGAGGGAAATGGACTGTGATGGCTGTGGAAAGACTGCAGAGGCCAGACCACACAGAGCTCTGAATGCATAGAGAGAAAAGAAACCAGTTAGGGGGCTATAGAGAGATCATGGCTTGGACTAGAATGGTCACAGTGGAGGTAGTAAGAACTGGAAGGTAGAATAATAGGATAAAAGAAGATTTTTAATATAAAGGACTCAACTCTTGAAACAAAATGTATTTGTCATAATATAGTATCAAACATTCTATAAAGAATGGAGTAGAAATATAAGAACACTTACTTCACTGCTCAACGTATTTATTTCCCGTTCAGCTTTATGCAATTTACTGATTAAATTATTATTTTGTTCATTGCTTGATTGTAGCTCCTTTTCCAAGCATTCAGCCTGTAGTTTAGCTGACTGTTTTTCAGCCTTTTATCAGAACAAAGTATTTTAAAATTTGTTCATAATTTTCACAAGTACATAAAAATAAGCACTATTTAAAAAATACATATAATCATACTATCCAAAATTATCCAGAACTTCAACAATATTAACATCTGCCAAAGTACCTAGGGTTTTCTCAAATTAATAGGTAGAATTCACATGGAAGACATTTGTTCCAGGAAATTTGCAACAAAGGTATATGAACAAACATATCAACAGCCACCAACAGAATAAAACACACACTTCCCTCAGGACAGAAAATGCCTAACGCACTCACTTAATGCCTGTTTACTGCCAACATAATTTGAACAAACATTTCTGGAGATTTCAGGTCCACAGAAAATATGAATAAGCATACTGGAAGGTAGAAGATAGGGCTCACTTGTAGTAGTAATAACTGAGAAAACTGAAAATCTAAACTCAGTAGAGATTAAAAAAAAAAAAACAGATTTAGGAATTCAAAGTCCTCAACTAATCTGGAGCCTTTGGAAGTATGGACTGAATAGCTCTTGGCTTCATACCATAATAAAGATTCTTAATTCTTAAATTGTGAAGAAAATTTTTGGTTGGTAATACTTACAGTACTCTTTAATTAGGGAGGGAACACTAAGTGCTTTAAAAAAATAATTCTACTTAAAATAGTTAAAATTAAAACATTTGCATTTAAAGAATAAGCTTCAGTTTTGTAACATCTCATTTCCTATATATCTTAAATATGGTAAGGAGTCTATTTAGCAAATAATTCAGAGAAAAATGATTTCCTCAAATATAAAATGATATTCTTTAGGCCCAATAGTAAATGATATTCTTGGGCACAGAAAAAAAAACAAGGAAGAAAGAAATGCTTGCAGTCATATGTTTTCATTTCATCTAACAAATGTTAAATACAGGCTCTTTTGACAATATCACAAATGGACCTCCCATCTTTTGTCATCATTCACCTTGTCCTGAAAATAATCACTCTAAATGACCTCAACAATATGGTTTCACATTGGGACCATATACTATATTCAGTTGCAATTATCCTACTTATTCTGTCACTTTGTAAATACATTAAGGATGGAAAGATGGCAACAGACACAGTCTCATTCTGAATTGCTTTATGTCTCAGGTCCAATAATACTGACAGCTTTAGTTCAGGAAACCAGTAAATACTGCCAGAAACTTCATCTAAAAAATAAAAAGCTGACTTCTACTCTTCAAAACATATCAGTGGACTCCTTGTACCAGTTTACTGCCTAGAAAAAAAATCACTAAATTGACCCTGAAACAGCACAGGGGGGGTTAGGGTACTGTCCACTGCTCCGTGCAGTCAAAACTCTATGTGTAACTTTTAACTCCCCCCAAAATTAACTACTGATAGCCTACTGTTGACTAGGAGGCTTACCAACAACATAAACATTTGATTAACACATATTTTGTATGTTGTATTATATACTGTATTCTCATACTAAAGCTAGAGGAAAATGTCTTTTCAAATTGTCCCAAATCTTGAAAACATTTTCCAATCAATTTACTGAAAAAATCCACATATAAGTGGGCCTGTGCCATTCAAATCTGTGTCATTCAAGGGTCAACTGTGTTTTAGATTTGGTTATTGGATTTTAATTATAAACTATGTGCCCGCTAATTTTCCCTTCAACTCAACCATTGCACAAATATTTGGATTGTTCAAGATAAATCAAAACAATTAAACTAGCATATTTGCTACATGTTAGACACTAAGAACTAAGATGAGTAAAACCATCTGAAAAAGATTATGAAGGAGTCCAGAATATGCCACTGTGGCAAAAAAGCTATTTTGAGAATCAATAGACACAGGAAAAGGTTTTTTCTAGAACTCCTTTATCTGCCTAAATGCAGAGCCTCCAAAAAGAACTCAACTGTTTTCAATCCCAGTTGTAATTCCCAGAGGTTTTAAAACCAGGGAAGACACTCCTACTGAGGAAGACAAGAAGTCAACACCTGGATAACAAACAATTCGCCTACACAGAAGTCAACACCTGGATAACAAACAATTCGCCTACACAAGCATTGTCACAAACCTGTCACATCTCCCATCTGTTTTCCTAAGGGCCTATTTATCTTTCCTAAAAGTCTTTTGTTTTCCACAAAGGACCTTTCTCCCCCTCTCCTTTCCCAGTTAAGATGGTATATATAAGTCCCAAATTTTAATGAGTAATTTGAGTCACATTTTTCTGTGAACTCTTGTGTACACTATGGATAAAAATCTGTCTTTTCTTTTGCTAATCTGTCTGTTGTCAGTTTAATTCACAACTCCCAACTACTGAACCTAACAGTATGAAAAAAAAGTTCTTCCCCTCCAACAATGGAAACTAAGAATTTTCATAAGAGAATACCTCTAGGAGTACCAGTGTAGCTCTGCCAGTTCTTATCTTTCTCTAATGAACTCAGGGAAATAATTTCAGTAAAATCTTTTGTGCATTAGTAGCCAGGCAGAATTTTATTACTCTGGCAAGAAGCTGTCATAAGATATTTAGGTATGGTGTTTCTGTTTAAACAGGACTTAGGACTTTAAGGTCTTGAATCTCAGGATAAGGAGATAACTACCTAGGACGAAATTGTTCTTTCTGGTTTGAATGACTGTAGTCTTTATAAACTCAAACTTTTTTGGATTTTTGTATATTCTACTATGCAGTATTGTAACAGTTAAATCATTTCAGATAGGTGACGTGACTCCCAAAGAGTAAGTAATCCCTTTGTAAATATAGTAGCATAGCTGTTGCTTATGGATCAATAGCTTTCTTCTTTGCAAAAAGAATATATACTCTTGAGATTCCAGAAATGCGTCAGCATTACATTGGTGAGCACATTTATGCTCTAAAAATCAAAGGCTTGTCAATTGCATTTTAAAAAAAAGCACGCCATATTCTACCGGGAATCAATTAAAACCTTACCTCCAGGGATCTGACTGTAGCCTGCATCTCAGCCAACTGCCGCACCTGAATCCTTTGGACATTCTCAACCTGAGCACCAGAATTCTCTTTTTCAGCCCTTAATTCTGCGACTTCAGCCTGTAAACCTGCTAATTTCTGACACAAATGGTAGAAGTCAACACCTGGATAACAAACAATTCGCCTACACAAGCATTGTCACAAACCTGTCACATCTCCCATCTGTTTTCCTAAGGGCCTATTTATCTTTCCTAAAAGTCTTTTGTTTTCCACAAAGGACCTTTCTCCCCCTCTCCTTTCCCAGTTAAGATGGTATATATAAGTCCCAAATTTTAATGAGTAATTTGAGTCACATTTTTCTGTGAACTCTTGTGTACACTATGGATAAAAATCTGTCTTTTCTTTTGCTAATCTGTCTGTTGTCAGTTTAATTCACAACTCCCAACTACTGAACCTAACAGTATGAAAAAAAAGTTCTTCCCCTCCAACAATGGAAACTAAGAATTTTCATAAGAGAATACCTCTAGGAGTACCAGTGTAGCTCTGCCAGTTCTTATCTTTCTCTAATGAACTCAGGGAAATAATTTCAGTAAAATCTTTTGTGCATTAGTAGCCAGGCAGAATTTTATTACTCTGGCAAGAAGCTGTCATAAGATATTTAGGTATGGTGTTTCTGTTTAAACAGGACTTAGGACTTTAAGGTCTTGAATCTCAGGATAAGGAGATAACTACCTAGGACGAAATTGTTCTTTCTGGTTTGAATGACTGTAGTCTTTATAAACTCAAACTTTTTTGGATTTTTGTATATTCTACTATGCAGTATTGTAACAGTTAAATCATTTCAGATAGGTGACGTGACTCCCAAAGAGTAAGTAATCCCTTTGTAAATATAGTAGCATAGCTGTTGCTTATGGATCAATAGCTTTCTTCTTTGCAAAAAGAATATATACTCTTGAGATTCCAGAAATGCGTCAGCATTACATTGGTGAGCACATTTATGCTCTAAAAATCAAAGGCTTGTCAATTGCATTTTAAAAAAAAGCACGCCATATTCTACCGGGAATCAATTAAAACCTTACCTCCAGGGATCTGACTGTAGCCTGCATCTCAGCCAACTGCCGCACCTGAATCCTTTGGACATTCTCAACCTGAGCACCAGAATTCTCTTTTTCAGCCCTTAATTCTGCGACTTCAGCCTGTAAACCTGCTAATTTCTGACACAAATGGACTTTCTCTTGAACAATCTTCTCTACTTGTTTGTTGTCTCTTGAGGGATCATCACTAAATAGCTGGTTATGTAGTTCTTCTTTATCTTTCTCCAGTCTTGTCACCTAATAATAATTTGAAAGAAAGCATACAACTTAGTTTTTAATAATTTTCAGTCATGAACATGCTTTACAAGTCAGTAAATTAATTTAAAATGGCACAATATTGAAAAGAAAGTTCAGATAGAGAAATGAAGTACAAAGGAGAACGATCTAAAATATGGTTTTCTTCATTCTGCACATCAGCGTGACCCAAATGTGAGGGCAAGGACCTTGTCCTGTTTTCCCTGTGTATCAACCCATGGGATCTAGCACAGGGGTTTATCTGTTGCTGACTAAAATTCAAAATTATAAATAATTTATGAAAATAATTATTAAAAATATGTCAAGGATTTAAAAATTCATCAGAATATTATAGTTCATGCAAGATCAATATGCTGATTACTGCTAAGCTTTTCCTCATGTGACAGTAATTCTTGGGCAATGTCTATACTAATAAAATTATCTATTCCAAGGCACTTAATCACAAAAAAGCTGCTTGTCCATGTAAATAACTACAAATGTAGACTGATGAGAGTTTTTAGATCAAAGCTGAGTCTATTAAAGCCATAGATGTACTGATGGCCTAGTTCTTATTTCTTAGACTCAAGTAAAAATCATGACTCAAGGGCATGTGTAAAAGTCACTGGGAAGCTTGTTGAGCAGAAACACCAGTGGGTTTCTCATTCATGCCAACCATCGGTGCTGGATCCTGTGGGCCTCCAAATCAGTGGGTTACAAATTGCCTCCTGACCACTCAGGTATTTCAGACACCCCTTATCTAGAGGAATAAGGGTACCTAGTAATCAGGGCAAAACTCTTTCTTTCCCTTTCCTAATCTCCTCAACTATCCACCCCCTACCACCACCACCAACTTATCTTTGTTGTTAATCAGAGCAGCTAGCTCCTCTTCTTAAGACTCTTCCTACATATGGGTTTCTTCAGATCATTCAACTTAAAGAAGGGATTCGGCAGTTAAAAAAAAATTAGAAACCACTGCTCTAATCACCAGGGGTTGTTTGTAGCCAGAATAAGCTAGAAGGCTCACTCTAAGCCAAAAGGACTTCAAGTAATGCTCTGCAACCTAGGCAAAAGTGGCCCAGAGACAACTGATGGCTAGCACTGCTATAAGCGAATCTAAGAAGTGTGAGACTTCCACCCCAAGGCAGAATCTGTTTTTCTTATCTGTAAAATGAGGAGTTAGACTGTAAGTCCTCCAAAATCCTTCTCAGTTTTAACATGCAGTGACTCCAATCTGGTTCTGGGCATGACAAATTAAAGATGTCAATGGGAAATATAATTAGAGCTTCCTAGCAGGTAGAACAACTTTTTTTTTTCCAGAAAATAAAATTTATTTCCGAAAGCAACTGTAGGATTCAGAGTCAAGCCCTCAAAAGCCCAACTAATTAGTATCTCTCTCCTATTTTTCCTCCTACCCTCTACAAATAAACATTATCTTCGGGGTTTGGTCCCTACCTACCTTTCTCCCTCCATTTTCTCATCCCGCCAGCTTGCTGTGTGACTTTGTGCAACTCACTTTTTCACTTTGGTATCAAAGTGAAAATGAAGTTAAAATGAAGGACTTGAACTGGATAATCTTTAAGATATCATTTAGTTTTTACATGATGTTAACTCAAATAGTTTTAATGCGCTATATTAGAGGTGTAGCAGCTTATCTAGATCAGCAGTAATGTGTGATTCAGGTTTAGACAATGGTACCCTTTTATTATGGATCAAGTGCTAAGCTAAGTCCACTACACATAAAATTGTATTTAGTAACAATAATATCTCTCGTCTCCATTTTATATATGAAGTCTCGGATCTAATGTTCTTGACAAGCATGT